TAGGCCTTTTTTGTTGTTGTTGTTGCAAGGAACTCAGACCAGGACAGCTTATAATGTTTTTGGCACTGTGGATTCCTATTTGAAATTTCCTGAGTTTATCTTCTGAACCATGTGTAGGTGTTTGCACACTTAATAGTACTTATATTGTGTGGTATCCTGAAAAGGATCTGATCTGCTGCGCACTGTTGAAAATCACTGCTCTAAATGTATTAGAACATGTTAAAATATATTGATTAATTACTGTTTTTTATTTAGTTTAAAAAGCAGATGGTGGAATGGTTGAATAGGAGTCCCAATATTGAGAACTTGTTATTAATTAAGAAGGCTTTGAAAAGCTTAAAGGCACGACTGAGATGGAAGTTGGTGGAAAAAAACAACTTGGAAGAAGTATGGAATCGTTCCAGTTTTTTTAAGACCATTCTACAGAGATGTAAACTTGTTTATCCCAGATAAGTGGTAATCACTGGTGATAGTTTGTACTTGCTGTTTTGAAGATGCATTCCTTAAGTCATAACTAAACAGATATTTACAGGTGAATTCATGTTAAACCATTTTGACTACAGCTGCTGTTCATGCACCTGTTTAAGAGACCAAACTTTGGTAGCTCTGTAGTCAGTTTTTTTGGAAAGGGGAAAGCTGTTTCATTCTTCCATGCAGTACAAGGAGGCACAGCCACACCAGTTTCCATCATGGCTTGTATGAACTTTTCCACTCTTACGTGGTTTCTCAGTTTCCCTTTTTCCTTGTCTCCCAGACCAGCACACTGTTTTGTTCAGTGACTTTCTCAAAGTTTAGCTCCATGTTTTATGTTATCCTCTGTTTTAAGTGCATGAAAGCAAACAAACAATTTAGTAATAGGTTTGAACCTCTTGCCACAACACCAGCAACATGTACACCATACCTGTTGATGGTTCATAGCCATCACTTATTTGTTGACAAAATGCATCATAAAAAGTGAATATTCCCCTAATTCTAGTAGGGAAAAAGTCTGGGTAAGAGTATGTAATAATGAGAACTCTAGATATTTTGGTTTTAATGTCCAAGAATATCTCGATATAACATGCTCCTTGTCTCCAGGAGTTTAGTCTTGAGTTTTAGATGTAATGGGTATACTGTAGAGAGAAAAATGGAGGTTAGGTAAGATGAAGGTACAGCCATACTCCTGTGTATGGTAGTGTTTGCTTGGCTTTAAAAATACACTTACACAAAACATCCAAATATCTGATTATGAGCATTGTAGGAGGGTGGAAGCTTCCAAGGGAGTTTTAAAGTTAAGAGAGCCTAGTGGACAGCAGTAGGAATAGGATTTTATATATAGAAGGGTGATGTGATTTTTGAAAAATACTGAGATTCTTTTGCTTACAGGAGAAACACGTGGTCTGTGAAGTTCATTTGTCAGATAAATTTGGGGTAATGATTCTGAGAACAATGCAACTTAGGCATGTACATAGTAAAATTATTATGTTTACCACTTGTACGTTTAAGCACACCTGTGCTGCTCAAGCTGGCTGTCTCCTAGCCTGAATAGCTATGTTTGCACTGTGCTACATGGGGCTAGTAAGCACTGCTGAATGACTAGACCACAGTATAGTCTGTGGCTGCACTGCTTCTAGTGTAGGAGGCATTCTACCCAGGACTTCCTGGAGTATTTGAAAGTGACACTGTTGAGCACCTTAAATTCACTGTGTAGACTTGGCATTTGATGGGAAAGGAGCATAAGATTTTTGTTAGAATTCTGGTCCCTGCTCCTTTCTCCAGCCCAAGACTGCAGCCCGAGAGGTTTGCTAATCTTTCCAGACAATACTAGACACATTTCATACTTGTTTGTGAGACTTCAAGGTTTGGCCATGCTGCATCTATCCTTTCACCGTATTTTCTCTGTCTCTTTGGATTGTGTGGGTTCAGCATGCCCTCTATATCCATAGGTTTATAGATGTTAGGGGCTGGAAAGGGACCTTACAAAATCATCGGGTCCTGTCCCCCTGCACTTGGGCAGGAAGGACTGTTGGGGTCAGATGACCCCAACAAGGTGGGCATCAAGATGCTTTTTGAAGATTACCAGGGTAGGTGACTGTACCACCTCTTGGTGGGGGGAGTGTGTGTGGGGGGGTCTGTTCCAGTTCCTTGGCACTTGAGTTGTAAAGAAGTTTTTCCTTAAGTCCAATCTGAAGTGATCTTCAGTCAGTTTGTGCCCATTGTTCCTTGTCTTCCCCTGGGATGCCTTGGTGGACAAATGTTCCTCCGAGCTCTGATGTACGCTGCTAATATACTTATAGGCTGTCACCAAGTTCCCTCTAAGTCTTCTCTTCCCCAGGCTGAACAGTCCCATGTCTTTCAGCCTCCACTCATATGACCTGTTCTCCAGACCTCTAATTATATGCATGGCTCTCCTTTGGACTCTTAAACTTCTCCACATCCTTCCTGAAGTGAGGTGCCCACAGTTGGACTCAGTACTCCAGCTGCTGTCTCACTGAGGCCAAGTAGAGTGGGAGGATGATGTCCTTAGTTTTGCTTGAGAGGCATTGGTAGCTGCATGACAGTGTTTGATTTGCTCTGCCAGCTACAGCATCGTGTTAGTGGCTCATGGTCATTCTGTGGTTTATCACAACCCCCAGGTCTCTTTCAGTTATGGTGCTGGCAAGCATAGCACTGCCGACTCCCTGTATTGCAGTCCCTGTATTTGGAAAAGGTAGGAGTGCTGAATGAAGGTTCTTTATTGTATCACAATATCAGGGTCATCTTTCTGTGACTTTCCTCCCCTGCCAAGTTCTGTCCTTTGCTTTTTTACTCCAGCATGGCAGAGTTGGCCAAATGGCTGGCAGTATTCCTTTTTACCTGGAAGGCCACAGAAGAAATTTTTTCAGGGTTGCTTGCCATTCAAGGACTTGCTTAGATTTAGAAATGGTGATCAATTTAGACAGCTTGTTGAAGCTCCTGTATTCATCTACATGAATTGAGACTGGTCCAAAACTACCTCCAGAAGGTTGGAAGTCCTTGGTTCGTACAGTCATTCATTCAAGGCTAAAGTTCAAAATTTCCCTAGTCCAGTGTCCTCAGAAGAGCCCTTTGTGGAGTTCTGGAACTCAGATTTTTTTTCATCATCCCTTAGTTCGTTGCATCTGTGGTTCCCTTGGCAAAGAGCTTGTGCTAACTGCTTCTGAAAGAGACTACTTCTTTAAATACTTTCAAGTAGGAAGATAAAAACCACCCTTAGAAAGAAATCAGAAACTTTAGTGTAGTCCTCTAAACTTTGTCTGTTAATCACTTGCTTTGCTTGAAACTCAGTGTCTTGATGTGGTTACTTAAATAGTTGTTCCATAGAACATTACTAATACTAAATAAATATTTCCTAGGTACTATGTGTGTAGAGGATGAGGCTGGCAGTGAGCTATGGCAATAAACTAAGTGGCTAGATAGCACTTTTTTGTCTGTTCAAAGAAAATTAAATCTGTACACCTGCAGCTGGATATCTGCCCCTAGGAATTGGGTATTAAGCCAGGATCATCCTGTTTCTTGGGAACCTACTCCAAGTTAACTTCATGCTGGTGATGATGGGAGACTATTTGGGCACTTACACAAGCTTTTTGTGCATTTGGGCCCTGAAATTGCTCTACAAGTGTGCCGTGACACATGTGCATGGCTGCAGAGCACTTTTAAAGTGGCTGATTGGGAGAAAAATGAGGTATTAGATGAAGGTTTTTATGCTTTAGAGTGCCTTGGAGAACTTGTGTTCCCTAGGATTAACTTTTTGCACATTGGGTTGGGTTGATGCCGACAGTCCTGGAGCTGGGAGGAGGGTGGGAGCAGGGCTGAGGAGAGGGGCAGTGCAGGCAGTCTTGATCTTGCTGGCTAGGAGGGCCAGTGTAGGCAGGCTTGATTTCCAACCCCCCCCCCCCC